GTAAGCGAGGGGGCTCGTCTCACCATCTTGTGCGGCTGTGTGTGGCGTGGGTGTGTGTGTGTGTGTGTGTGTGTGTGTGTGTGTGTGTGTGTGTGTGTGTGTGTGTGTGTGTGTGTGTATTGTGCCCACTCTTCTGGTAAAAAAGAAACAAAAACCAACCTTATGCTATTAGCAAGCCCAATAAACTCATTAGAATTTTTAAAAAAGAAAAAGAACAACTCTGCATCGCAGATGTGCATCTATCTCTCCCTGTCTCTCACATACACAGGATAACACTGTGAGCGTTATCTCTGTGTAGATGGAAACTCAATCTGCAGCTGGATGCTTTACATTTACCTGAAATACATTTTCCATGTCTCTCTTCTATATCACAATATTTTTTCAATTATCAACACTCTCCAGCCCCTGGGCTTCTATAGGAAAAACTCGGGCAGCACATATGAAGAACTCAGTGTAGATGCAGATTACAGTGCTGTGTGGTATGTAGAGGCCAGGCCAGGCAAAGTCAGAACTGCTGGATGGCTCTTTAGTGAGCCAATCTGAGCCAATCTGATAGCAAGGCTTTTGTTGTCTTGCTTGGAGCAATATCTCAGTTCTCACATTTAGACCCCTTTGGTGTTTCTCAGATTCAACTGCTGGCTTTACAACAGCAGAGATTTTTTAAAAAACTCAATTCCACTTCGAAAACTTCCATTTAGGAGTCTGGAAAATCTCTAAATAGAGGCCCTTCTGATAATGAAGATTTGGTATAATTATAATGTTATAGGCAATTGTACTGACAAAGCAAAACTAGCATGTCTCCTTGTTTGGGCCTTTGCTCTCAGTCTAACAGGAGAAAAGAGGCTTTGTCAGGAGCAGATGTGCAGTGGGAGGCCCAGGAAAGCAGATCTGTTGAATGAAGCAGGTGCCACTTAGACATTCACTTCAGACTCCGCCATAACCCCCTTCATTTGATATCCTACTCCTGGCAGGAGGATGCAGAAAGCATCACACAAAAAGGAAGCATGTTTATCCTGTTCAGATTACTGCTTCTGCCAGGTTGCTGCTTCTGGGTACTGCACATTTGCTCTTTATTAAGCAAATGGCAGAGCTAGGTGCAGGGATGTGAATCTTTATATTTACACAGGTAACCTGAGAGCCAGAGGGCCCCAAACTATCCAGGCTGCGACATGCATGTGATTATAGTTAATAACAGTGCTGACATTCCTTCAAAATCTTAATAGAAGCATAAATTAAAAGAGGAAGGTCCTCTTTACTCAAGAACTTTAGGAAGGGGGTCGGGGCGGGACAGGATGGGACACATGGTTGGACTGCTTTTCTGAACATGAATCGAACAGAAATGACTCCAATTAAAATTGTTAATTTATTATTAAAAAAAGAAGCCTCTTTGCAGAGTATTGCCTTTGCCTTTAATTTTAGAAGGAGCCTCACCAGTGACTACAACCTGCCTTTCATGTACAGAGATCTGTCTGGGCACCTAAAAGGCAGGCAAATGAGACAAAAACACACATTTTGGCCTTGAGGATACCTGAGTGGAGAGATCAATGGTATCCACTGGGAATGGCAGGGACCATCCAGGAACCTCTGCCCAGAATGTACCTGATTCACAGGTTATCTCCCCATAAGCCATCAGACTAAAGAGCAGATGAAGGTATGTCAAGCTGGCTTGATCACACTAATTCCCTCTGTGACCATGCAGAACCAAATGGAGGCATCTGGCCTTTGACACAGCAGCTGAACACCACATTTGAAAGCCTTGACCATGACCCAGATGAGAACTCAGAACACAGATAAAACTCTAATAGACTAAATTTCATTGCGAAGGCTCCCTAGGTTCACTTGTATTCTATCATCTCTAATTTCTGAATAGTAGAGTCCAGATTAGCAGTTCCTGTTGTACCAGCGATGGCTACTTGAAGCCTTATCAGTGGATCTTCACTGAGGAAGGATAATACATCTAGGGACTTGCAGACTCTGCAAGAAGAGAAAGATGAGCTATCCCCTGCACCCCACCCTGCTTTCTTAGACAGGGTCTTGCTGTGTATCCCAGGCAAGTCCTGCCTCAGCCTCCCTAGTGCTAGGATTACAGATGTATAGCACCATCCTGAGATGAAGATGTGTTAAACCCACACTGAGGGACCCGAAGACCTTGCAAGGGGCAGTATATTCTTTTTGAAGGTATCTACAACAAGGTACCTATGCACAGGACAAAGTAAATTGCTAAAGAACTCTGTCACAGAAACCCCTCCAGCTGTTTTGCTATGGGAGTAACAGGAAAGGCCTGGTAACTCCAAAGAACACAGTATGTTTGAGGGACACTGCAGTTCTAGCAGAGGCTTCCTGAAGTATCTGCTTCTGCCCAGGTCCTAAAAATATATTCTAGAAATGCTAAAACTGAATCTTCCACAGATCCCTTTCATGTATGTTTTAAGTAACAACAGTAGTTATAACAACAGTAGTAACAGTGGTCAGCAGTTATGACATGGATAGGCTACCCCAGACATAAAAAGAATAGGACAAAATGGTTTCTGCTGCCCTCAAATTAGTGCCACCATTAACTTCCTCGGATAACAGAGACTGGGGAATTAGAAAAACTCCTACTTCCTTTTGAGAGCTATTCTAGAAGGCACTTGGGACTTTGGAAGTCATTCAGAAGGGAGTAAGGAAGGATAATCTCTAGGAGTACTGAACACTATTGTAGGGTCCTTTCCTTCCCTCAGTGCTATCAAGGGGCACTGGGTGAGGGGCTGGAAAGATGGCTCAGCTCCCAGCACACACATCAGGTGGCACACATGGCTCACAATGGCCTATAACTCCAGTTCCAGAGGCTCCAACACCCTCTTCTGGCCTCCATAGGCACCTGCACATATGTGGTATACATAAATTCATGCAGGCATACATATATATCTATATATACAATATATATATGTAAATAAAAAATAATATATCTTTTTTTTTTTTTTTTTGGTCTTTTGGAGACAGGGTCTCCTTGTAGCCCCAGCTTCCTGGAACTCACTATGTAGACCAGGCTGACTTTGAACTCACAGAGATTTGCTGCCTCTGCCTCCCGAGTGCTGGGATTAAAGGCGTACGCC